GTGGCGTTTCGTTAAAATTAAGGATAAATTTGTACCAAAGTATAATGAGAAGGGTACACCCAAACTAATTTCGCTTAACTGATACTAAATCGGTATAGGTATCTTTAAGGCTGATAATATTACGCTTAACTGATACAAAACATTGTATATATATTGTATTGGTATCATTAAAGCTGATAATTTCACTTAACAGATACTAAATCATTATATATAAATTGTATTAGTACCATAAGGTATCTTGTTCAGAAATTGTTTATTAGTCAATGATACTATAATAACATATGTAATTTTTGTGGAATCATTAATGTTTCTTATTCAGACTCATTAGTCAATGATATTATATGTATATATATATAATCACGATTTTTATGTATCCGCAATTTTAAATTATTATTTTGTTTTTAAAAATAATTTGAAGACGAATGTAGAGTGAAAATTCGTTCGTAGAGCGGTCACAGTGAAAATAAAATCATATCTTATTGCAAATTCTTATTAAAAAAAAGGGATAAGGGTCTGAAAAATATCTCAACTTTGGTCGGATTTGTTGTTGCGATACTAAACTTTTATAAGGACCTATTACCTCCCTAGACTATTTAATACCGTATTTTTTACCCCCTGAACTATTTAATAGTGTATTTTAAAGGTATATATGTGCCCACGTGAACACATTACTATTTATAATTTTGCATTATTTTTTATGTCCACGTGGACACATATATATGTTTAAAATATGGTATTAAATAGTCTAGGGAGGTAATAGGTCCTCATGAAAGTTTAGTATCGCAACAGCAAATCCGACCAAAGTTAGGGTATTTTTCAGACCCTTATCCCAAAAAAATCTTCCCAAGATTAACAATGGTGGAAATATCGGTTATTTTGGAAGGAAACAATGGAAAACTTTAGAAAAGGAAATAATTTAACTAATTTGGTTAGAATATAAGAAGAAATTTACTTGTCCTTAATATTATATTCCTAACTTTTATAATCTATATAAGTCATGGAGACCTACTTTTGGTTTTTGACTTATTTTAAATTTATTTTAAGTTACTTTTGACCTTGTCAAACACTTCCTAACTTTTTAAAAGTTATTTTTGACTTATTTTACGTTACTATTTTGAGTAAATTTTAGGAATAACAAACATAAAAATCATATTAGCGCTCTATAGCTACAATTTTGCTATTTGCGGAGCTCCATAGCAAACATAGTTTGCTTTCTAGCATCTGATTTGTATAAATTGCGGCAATTTGTATAAATTGGGAGTTTGTGTCTATGAAAATTACGGTTGTATATGTATATGTTCTTCGTGTTAGGCTAGAGTGGCGGACGAGATTAGGAGAGCGAGGAAAGAGGTGAGCGAGAGAGTGGAGAGAGGTGAATTGTATATGTATATTGGTTCGATAATTGTATATATGTAACTAATATGTATATGTATCAATGATTGTGTTTGTATATCTGCATAAAATTTTAATTTGTATACAATTGAATCAAGTTAATATACAATTGAATCGAGTTAAAACACTTGTATTTGTATATCAAATTTCTCTCTCGCTTTATACAAACAAGGTGTTGTACATTGTATTTGTATAATTTGTGTTTGTATAAAGCAAGAGAGAAAGACAAAAGAGAATTGGATAGGGGAAGATTTGTTTTAGTATAATTATAAGTGTATAGGACGGATATATATATATATATATATATATATGTAGTGTATATACAGTTTATCTCGCTTTATACAAACACAAACACAATGCATATACATTTGTGTTTGTATAAAAGTGAGATAGGTGAGGGAGAGAATTGAGAGTGACGAGCAAGATTCAAGGGAGAGAGGGCAGAATGACAATGTGTTTGCTACGAATCATAATTAAATGAAATTGTAGCTATAACATTTATTTTGAATTAATAGTTAGCTATAATGCACAATTTGCCCTATTTTTTTTTTTTATATTTGTCAAACACTTTCCGAAGTCAAAAACTGACTTAAAAATAAGTTTAACCAACTTTTAAGCCAATCCAAACACCCTCTAAGTAACATATTTTATTCTTGAAAAAAATAATGTTTGATATTCTCGAATAACAAAATACTCATGGTTTCAAAATAATTGTAATGCAGCACTTGAAATACTTATATCAAATGGGTTCATGTATAGTGATAAATAATACTTTACCTCCTCTCATGCTAATGATTATTTAGAGTTTTACTATGAATACTTTATATATTGCGAATTTATTTTGCAAAAAATCTTCTTAATGGGGTTAAAACTAAACAGTGACATCAGAATATCTTATTTATGTTGATCTAATGATCTCTAATACATATATAGAGATAAAATATTTCAGAAAGTTAAAATCTAAATCTGGTCACCATCTTATTTTATAGAAAAAAAATAGTTCATTACCTATTTAATTAGAGCCTAGAAGAGTGAAAATAAGAGAAGTTATGATTTGGGAAAGAAGTTAAATTCTTTGTAAATTACAAGGTACTCGATTGATCTCAAGTTATGGTAAGAAATAATTTAGAAGTCAAGTATGCAAGAAGAGTTTATAGGAGAAGATACTCTTAGTCGAAGGTATGACAATTTTCTTAGCTTTAGGGTCAATCGAATAGATAAAAGATCTAATAAAATAGTGTTTTTTATCCCAGAAAAACTATCATAGTGATTCTAGTAGATTTGAAAGCAAATGAAATAAACTGGGATAATGCTTTTATGGAAGAGTTGTGTGGGCAATCCGACTATGCCTTACATTTGCTCTACATGCTGCACATAATATTTCTTCTAAACGAGTCTTTTTTTTTATTTGGAAGATGGATATTGCGTTCGGTTCGAAAGACATGATTTTCAGTATGTCTCCGGATAAGACTCACACTAGTCTGACTAGCTAGTGAATGATTCTTTCAGGTGGGAAGCAGGTTGGACCCTATGAGCAGATATATTCTACAACATAAGCAACATTGTTCGACACCACCCGAGAAGCAAAAGATTCGTGAGTCGTAACTAAAAATACATGCATAGACATCAAAATTTAATTTTTGATATCCCTAATTGAATTAAAGTTTGAGTGAACAGAGCCTTTTGTCACGGATTTAGAGTCTCATTAATGTTCCGTGCGACACTTGACAACTTACTCACGATTCTTTCACGGTCTTATAAGCTCAAGTAAACCTTTTGAAGCTAGATCGCTAAGAAAATGTAAAGAAAGACAAGAGAACTTTGAAAGAAGGTTTTGTATTGCTTTGTGGAAGATTGCTTACACTTTGTTGGATGATTTTGAAAATGGGAGGCCCTCTATTTATACTACTCCCTAAGGGCCTAAGTGTAAATAATAATTACTTTGCAAGTCCCTACAATATTTACATTTTAGTCCATATTCTAGAATTCTCTACAATTTCTAGGGAATTTCAAAGTCTTCTTGAAATTTCTAGGGGGTTCTAGAGTTCTCCATAAGCATCTCTGTAACTCTAGATTCTTCTCCCATATTTCAGTGCCGAATTTGAGAAGCAAAGTGGCGGGACATGACACTTTGCACTAAAATAGTAGCCGGCAAAATTCAACAAGTGTTTTTCACTAACCGAAGAAGTTTAAAGAGTCTCCTAAAACATTTCTAACATAAAATAATCAATACATTATACATAGACCAGAAAAACAAAAGATGAACATCAAAGTTGATTTGTCTCATTAAACCGTTTGTATAAGATTAAGTTTGAAACGAACAAAGATATATGTTTTGGTGATAGTAGTTGAATTAACAACTATTATATCCCTAGAAGAATTAATATTTCAAATGAACAACTGGCATTCTCCTCTGCCTTTCCTTTCTCCCTTGCCTTTACCATCCATCCGACTTTACTTCAACTCCAATTTTCCCGCAAAGAACTCTTGTCCCTAATTCTTTGATCCTCAATAGATCTGAAGTACCTTTCATCATCAGCATCCGCAATATCAACAAAATTTTGGTTAAAAAGACAAGGAGGATTCTCTTTAGAAATTCTAATGACATGCAATATAGTTGCAGGGGTATAATAGCTCCCCATGTCTAATGTTTTGGAAATATTATCATCCTGCATCATATCAATTTTTGAACCAGAATTTCTAGTAGTGTGTAGAATGCCACTTGAAGATGTAGACACTGCTGCAATTTTCTTCTTCCAAGTTTTTCAAGTGCATCAACGAATTTCTAGTAGTGTGTAGAATGCCACTTGAAGATGTAGACACTGCTGCAATTTTCTTCTTCCAAGTTTTTCAAGTGCATCAACCTTTCTTTTCTTCTGTTGGGTTCCAAGAGATACACTTTGATATGTAAAATCAACCGTCTTTTATTTGTGTGAGACAATAGTAAATGCACAAATTATATGAAAATGTGGAAAATTCAAGTTTACCCTTAAAGCAAGAAACATGTAGTCGGGAGCTTTGAATTTCTAGAAAATCACTAATATAAATACCAGATGACTCCTTCAATTGATGATGAGGCAAGAATGATCCATTGTAGATACATGAATTTTCATACAGTGGGGGAATGTGGTAAGGGTGAAACATCTTTCTTGATATCTAGACAATTGTGTTGCTAACATGCCCTCATTGAAAAAGGATTCAAAGACCTCATACCTTAGATGCTTTTGTCCTCAACTCTCATTGAATTCGTACTTTTAAGGTCACTTATAGTCTTTCCTTTTTGAACTGAGCTAATAACAACTTTTCCAAATTTATGATTTTCATGTAGATTGTAAGGTTGAAAAGATGTGTTTTGCGCAATAGAAATTTTTACAGGACTTGATATTTCAACATTGTGCGACCCCATCTGGTGGGGACAGGAGAAGAAATTTGCGCTGAATTTGAAAGTTTGGTTGTTCGATCCTTAACTTGTGTTGTTGCAGTATTACTTCTGAGCAATCCATCATTAGCATAAGATGGATTAAAATTGGTTGATCCTGAATTTCTCCGTGTAATTACTCCATTTTGGGTTTGGGGATAAGTCCTTTCATTCCAATTTATGAACATCCTCATATTACCTGTTGGTGGCATATAAGTTCATGCTCTTTTTTTCTGTAACCATCTCCATGGAAATACTCCATTTTGGGTTTGAGGATAATTCCTTTCATGCAAATTTATAAGTTGATGCTCTTTTTTCGGTAACCTTTAAAGGTCGTTGATTTCTTTGTAGTATTGAGCTATGATTCAGGTCAATGATTGGGTGAGGTTGGTGAAACTATTTCTCCTGGATTGATCTGAGAACTTTGAAAGAAGGTTTTGTATTGCTTTGTGAAAGATTGCTTACACTTTGTTGGATGATTTTGCAAATGGGAGGCCATCCATTTATACTATTCTCTAAGGGTCTAAGTGTAAATAATAATTACTTTACAAGTTCCTACAATATTACACTTTAGTCCACATTCTAGAATTCTCTACCATTTCTAGGAAATTCCAAAGTCTTCTTAAAATATCTAAGGGGTTCTAGAGTTCTCCATAAGCCTCTCTGTAACTCTAGTTCTTCTCCCTATTTCGGTGCCGAATTTGAGAAGCAAAGTGACGAGACGTGACACTTTGCACTAAAATAGTAGCTTGCACTAAAATAATAGCTGACAAAATTCAACAAGTGTTTTTCACTAACCGAAGAAGTTTAAAGAGTCACCTAAAACATTTCTAACATAAAAGAATCAATACATTATGCATATACCAGAAAAACAAAAGATGAACATCAAAGTTGATTTGTCTCATTAAACCGTTTGTATAAGATTAAGTTCGAAACGAACAAAGATATATGTTTTGGTGACAATAGTTGAATTAACAACTATTATATCCCTAGAAGAATTAATATTTCAAACGAACAACTAGCATTCTTCCCTGCCTTTCCTTTCTCCTTTGCATCTACCATCCATCCGACTTTACTTCAACTCTAGTTTTCCCGCAAAGAACTCTTGTCCCGAATTCTTTGATCCTTAATAGTTCTGAAGTACCTTTCATCATCAGCATCCGCAATATCAACAGGATTTTGATTAAAAAGACAAGGAGGATTCTCTTTAGAAATTCTAATGACAGGCAATATAGTTGTAGGGGTATAATAGCTCCTCATGTCTAATGTTTTGGAAATATTATCATCCTGCATCATATCAATTTTTGAACCAGAATTTCTAGCAATGTGTAGAATGCCACTTGAAGATGTAGACTGCTGCAATTTTCTTCTTCCAAGTTTTTCAAGTGCATGAGCCTTTCTTTTCTTCTGTTGGAGTCCAAGAGATACACTTTGATCTGTAAAATCAATCGTCTTTTATTTGATTGAGACAATAGTAAATGCACAAATTATATGAAAATGTGGAAAATTCAAGTTTACCCTTAAAGCAAGAAACATGTTGTCGGGAGCTTTGAATTTCAGGAAAATCACTCATATAAATACCAGAGGACTCCTTCAATTGATGATGAGGCAAGAATGATCCATTGTAGATACATGGATTTTCATGCAAGAGAAATGGTGGGTGGATGTTGTAAGGGGTAAAATGTCTTTCTTGATATCTAGACAATTGTATTGCTAACATGCCCTCATTGGAAAAAGGATTCAAAGACCTCATACCTTTGATGCTCTTGTCCTCAACTCTCATTGAATTCGTACTTTTAAGGTCACTTACAGTTTTTCCTTTTTGGACTGAGCTAATAACAACTTTTCCAAATGTATGATTTTCATGTAGTTTGTAAGGTTGAAAAGCTGTGTTCTGCGCAATAGAAAATTTTATTGGACTTGATATTTCAATATTGTGCGACCCCCATCTGGTGGAGACAGGAGAAGAAACTTGCACTGAATTTGGAAGTTTGGTTGTTCGATCCTTAACTTGTGTTGTTGCAGTATTACTTCTGAGCAATCCATCATTAGCATAAAATGGATTAAAATTGGTTGATCCTGAATTTCTCCATGGAAATACTCCATTTTGGGTTTGGGGATAATTTACTTCCTTCCAATTTCTGAACATCCTCATATTACTTGTTGGTGGCATACAAGTTGATGCTCTTTTTTCTGTGACCTTTGAAGATCTTTGATTTCTTTGTAGTATTGAGCTATGACTCAGGTCAATGATTGGGTTGAGGTTGATGAAACTATTTCTCCTGAATTGATCTAATTGAACCAAATTTGATTGTCTTCCAGACGAAATTACTTCTTTCTGTAAAGATTCACTTGATTCAACCCCATTCACCTTGAGAGGCTCACAACTTTTATTGTCCTTCAGTATAGTCGGCCAATATGGAATGTTCTTTCTTTGAGTTGGGTCATTTTTAGCATGTTTTTGAGCATTTGTGAAGCTTTTTAGAGTTTGACGTAACTTCTCTTGATATAACTCATTTTCTGACTGAGAAACCGCCATCCTCATACCCTTATCCATAGGTGGTGCAACTGTATTTAGCTGCATGGACATATTATTCACTGAAAATAGTTTAGCATTCATAGAACTTCTCCCCAAATTGAATTTTCCACTCAACAATTCGGTCATCAACCGCACTTTTTGAGTTTTACGACACTTTGCAACATTTGTGATATCTTCCTGCAAATCCCACCTACTATGTTTTCTTAAATTTGCATCACCTCCTTTTGATGTTTGATCAGTTTCCTTTCTCAATCTAAGAGAAGGTGGTCCAATTTTGTCTCCTACACTTCCATCAACTCCAATCTTATGAGTGTAATCAGCATACCAACAACACTTATGTTCTGGAACTTCTTCGGTAGGAAGTTGCTTTGAGGGGTTACTGCTTAATTCAAAAGGTGAATAGATTATATATAATGTCTTTCTTTTACATCTCAGCAACATATTGATTGTATTGCAAAGAAATTGACCAATAAATATATTGATTTATTTCCTTTTCAATTTAAAGAGGAGTTGATTTCTCAAGTGAGCACTCAACTGTTAGTTATTTCTTCAAAATAAGTCACTTTTTATTGAAAAAAGAAAGAAAGATGATTTTCTGAAGTAGTAATTATTAGTATAGTTAAGTAATTATATGAGAAATCAATCCTCTAACAGAGAAGAGATAATTGGATCTTTTTTCACAAAATAATTCTTTATTTATTATCTAGACATGAATATCAATGTAGGGAAAAAGGAAGATGATAATGTGTTCACTAATATCATGAAGAGAGTATTATGTCATAAGAAAGATTTTAGATGACTTAATTAAGCGAACAAAAAGGGGAAAAAAAACTAATTTAGTGTACAAAAAATAACAAAAGAAACTAACCGTATCGAAAGATGCTGACAATCCCCACCATTCATTCTTACTGGCAATGGAAGATTAAGATCAATAGGTGATTTTGAATCACTTGCATCGTGAGTATCTCCTTCACTTGATGTCTCCATCTAACTCAAAAACAAATACATAAAATCCAATTATAATCATACTTTAATATGTACAATAAATGTTGTTTGTATCAATAATTCAAGCATATCATTAATGATATATATATAGATTAGCATGTGTTTAATTTTAAGCTTCTCTAAATTCAAAATTATATGATACAAATCTAATAAATTTAATGCAATAGTAATGATATGATTAGTACACATTTCATTTTAGTGAATTGAGTTTGAAAGTCTTTAATGAATCTTAATTCTCATTTAATCAACAAGCGTTACAACCATACAAATGCCTGAACAAGATCAATGAACCTTTAAAATGAACGGTATAAACATATGCCAATTAATTTCAAGCTACTTTAGAGTTTTCTAAGTAAATTCATTAAAATTGAAAAGATAAAAGAAAAAAACACAAAATTTCATAATTTTTTTCAAAATTCACATAAAAATCATCATTGCACAATCAAGCTCCGCAAAAATTCATATCAGATCTAAACAAAAGTTATTTATGATAATTTTAGATTAAGATTTTTCACGATCCTGATGATCTTAATACACCCAAAGAATAAACCCCATAGACATAAAATCAAAGCTTGAACAAAAATCATATTAAAGTCATACTTATAACAAAACCTAAAAAGGAAGTATACCAAAAATAATTCATAAACCAACCACATGACATATGACAATTATTTTCAAGCTAATTAAATGTTTTTAAAGCAAATTAACTTAACTTGAATAGGTAAAAATGACAAAGCTTTACAAAAAAATAATAATTAAAATTCACATAAAAAATATTATAACTAAATCACGCACCACTAAATTCATATCAAATATAAACAAAATTCATCCACAAAAATTCAAAAGTCAAATTAGGATTTTCCATTGATTTTAATAAATTCAAAGAATAATTTCACAAATAAAAAAAATTAAAAATTTAACTAGAACCACAGTAAAATTATAAGTAAAATGAAACAAAAAAACACACAACTGAAGAAAGAAAACAATCAGAGATGAAGAGAAAAAAATCATACCTTTCACCTAAATCGAAATCTCAGATCAGAACACCCAAAAATGGATCTTGGATTAAATCAAACGGAATTTAAGATTAGATTAAAGAGAAAACCCTAATGTTTAAGAAAAACTCAAATTCTAGAGTGAGAGAGAAATACTTTTAAGGATAAATATAATATGAAATTAAAAGGCACAAAGAAGATATTTATATAGAAAAACTGAAGTGTTAAGACATTAAATCTTTTGTAATTTTATATATAAAATTGCGTGCATTTATTTCTTTACAAAATTTTCATGAATTTGACCAAAACAATCCTCATCCAATCAGGAGAGGCCACGTCACTCACTAACTTGCAAAAACCCTAGTCAAACAAAAGTATAGTGGTATGTGACACGTGAAAAGTAATTTTTTAATTAGAAAATAAGGAATAAAACTCCTAAATATATGCGGCCGTTGTAAACAAAATGAAAAAGACAAAGTAAATATTATGCAGAAATAACCCTAATATTTTACCTAATGGGAAGGTAAATGAAAATCAATAAACTAGAAAAGGAAAAAAATAATTACTGATTTGCTAAAAAGAATAGTAGAAAATATAAGTGGGGTACTCTTGAAAATAAGGAAAAATAATAATAATAATAATAATAATAATAATAAAAAAAAATAAATTATTTAGGATAATAAGAATCCAATATTTGTGTAATTTATGATTTCTCCTTTAATTATATTAGATTATTATAGCAACTTGTTCATTTTTTTTCTAATAATATCTTTCCAAGATTTATATACATTTTTTTATAAAATAAGAGGGGTTTAATTTATAATATATTCTAAATGGTTGTGAGAGGTCTCACTCTAAATTTTGGTACGAGAATCAATTATGCCAGCCAACACTTAACAAACAATTAAAATAGTAGTCTCATTAATTAAAGTAAATATTCTCAAGTGTTGATGGAAAACGTGCAGAAATAATTTTTCTAGAATCTGAAAGTCGTGTATCAAAACATCTAACATAGCCTAGAATATAGGGAGGCAATCCCAAAACAGGAAATATCTAAGTCCGAACAATGGATTAGAGAAAAATATGATCTATGGCAGCCCGAAAGAAGCAAATCATCTTTAAATTCAGGAAACATGGAAATCACAACTGAAGTCACACAACAATAATCGAAATATGTCATGTACTTAAAAAAAAGAAAAAGTACAATATCAGTCTCAAAAAAATAATGTACTAATAGGATCATCGACCAACTGCAAATATATGAAATATGAACAAGTAACTCATCACCTTGACATACATAACAACCACAACAAAATATGTCCAACATTGTCCAAAATATGTCCAACAAAGGTTAGGATCGATCCCATGAGGAATAGGGTTCAAAGTTTGACAAATCTTTTTATCTAAAAATAAATAAAAATACAATTAATTCGCCCAATTATGGACGAACCGTATGTGTTTTTCATAAAAAAAAAAGATTGATACGTAAAAGTTCTAACTTGTCTTAGTTGGTTCAATTTTTTATTTTTTTAAAAAATATATTAGAGTTTGCCTGTAATTGAACGAACTACAACATCTTTTTTTTTTAAAAAAGATTGGAGTTCACCTCATCACGAAAGAATCCTAAAAAAAATTATAACAAAAAATGTGCCTTAGTTCATGAACTGAATTATTTTTTTCCAGAGTTCATCCCTAATTGAACAAATCCCAATGTATATTTTTAAAAAATGTGATATCTTTGTTATTTTTCATATATAGTGATGCTCTTAGATTTAACGAAAAATTAATATAAATAAATTAAAAAATTTCAAAAAGAAGAAACTCAATTGACACTGTGATTGTAATTTATATTGTTAAATTAGTACTTAGTAGTGATGTTTGTTGATCTAAATATAATAAACATAGTTATTCGTCGACATCAATAGTTTTTTATTATTGATGTAAGCAAATAAATAGTAAAATTTATTTTATGAAAAAAGTTCTCAAGTTTTTAATACTTTTATCATTGAAAAAAGTCGTTATTTTATATATATTCACGTGACAAGCTAATAAAAAGAATTGTAGGTCATCCATTTATGGACGATTTAAGTTTGTGTAATATTATTTTGGATAGATTTGAAGTTAACGGGGATGACAATGTTAAAAATAATAGTTATAATTTCCTTGTAAATAAGCAAACGGTCCATTTTGATGTTTGTTTTTAGGAAATCCTTTTAATATTTAAGGTTCCAAAAAATATCTATTTTAATGCCGGACTCTAACATATTGTTTCTTCCAAAATAATCTAACCAACTTTGACATATAGCTTCAACATATAATAATTTTAATAATTGTAATAATGACATTACAGTAAAATTCGGACAGATGCATTTTGTTGGAAAGTTCCAATTTTGTTCTTCACTTGCAGAACATGTATGCAAATTAAAAAAATAAAAGCAAGTAATTACTCTATTTATTAGTCCAAAATCTTGACTTGTTTTTCAGCTCAACTGATCGGGATCCATGGCGACGGTGGAGACAGACGACGCTGCTGCCGGGCTCCGATCTCAGTTCCTCCAAGTCCTTCGTAGCCGTCGTCCTTCTGAAGGTCTCTTTTTTTTTTTTAATGATCTGGTCTACGAATCGATTGAAGTTTTGGGGATAAATTGCATTTGAACTTTACTGCTATAATGACTGTCAAGCTTTTAACTTTTTGAATCATAGTTCTTAGTCAATTTAGTGCTGTCATTGTCAATCGATTCAAGCATTTGCATTTTCCCTTTTTTCTGCAATAACCTGTCAAAATTAGTTGCCTTTTTTTCTTTCCGCATTTTGTTCGTTCTTAGTATGATTGCTGTACGAATTAACCATTTCCACCCACTTTTCTGGGTTTGGGGGTGGGTGGCAACTTCCAGTGTTACATTAATTTTTTTTTTTTTTTTTTTGTGTGGGGGGGGGGGGGGTGATTTTGGAACTGTTTGGGGGTGGGTGGCAACTTCCAGTGTTACATTAATTTTTTTTTTTTTTTTTTTTGTGTGTGTGGGGGAGGGGTCTGATTTTGGAACTGAACTGGGGAATAATTGATAGAAGGGATTATTTAGAAAGGGAAGACTAGAATGGAACAGAAAAGTGTAGCAGCTGAATGATGCAAATCTGATTAGATGGTTGCAATTCTGTAAGATAATTAAGCTTGGGTTCATTGGAGACTGAAATTGTGAGTGGTGGAGAATTTTGTTCTAATCTTGTTTCGTGGAATGAGAGGATAGAGGAAGTAGAAATGACTGTCAAGGATGAGAAGAGATGGGAGGATGACATTAGTAGTTTACTTGGCAGGAATAATGAAGCTGAACTCTTGTACAATAACGGTTCTGTAGTCGCCCTTTCTAGTAGCAAGAGTGCATCTTGAGATCATCAGTTCTATCTCTTGGTAGATTCAATGAATTACTGTCAAAATTGTGTCTTTTTATTTCTTTATCTCTTGGGTGGTAATTAAGAAGTTTTATTGTCTGGTCTAGTTCCTCCCTGTTGCCTACTTATATTTTGGATGTTAAATTAACAATCTTGTATTTGCTTGGTCTAATTCTTTCCAGTTCCACTATCTGTAATACCTGGAAAACCTGTGAAGGATCCTTTCTTTCAGGAATCTCCAAAGCCAACCTTCAGTGAGGTACAAAACTACTATGATTTCTTTGTACTGCCAATTCTATACTCCGGAGACTTCATTTTAACATTTTTATCTGAAAATACAGGCAATGGCATCATGCCCAAAGGAAGATATACCCAATTTTAAGGAATTGCTTCAAGAGGAAAATTTCTACCTGACTACTGAGGTGATATGATTTTAGAAGTATATTTCGTCGATTAATCTACTTATTAGTGTGTAACCAGATTCCGTTTATTAAACGGTGTACCTCCTGAGTAGTCGAATAAGCATTTAGATGATGATCTTCTGACTTCTGAGATGTGGTTACTTTTGTAATAATCTATTTGAGATATGACTAAATTAGGTAGCTGTAACTCTCTTACTGTTTGCAGGAAGGAGGGCAAGGGCTCTTGCCTGTATTGGTATTGAGGATGAAAGAAAGTGAAAAGAAAAGGAGGCCTACTATTGTTTTCCTGCATAGCACGAACAAATGCAAAGAGTGGTTGAGGCCATTGCTTGAGGTGACATCTGTTGTTTTCTTCAATATTCTTGAGTTCTCACTACAATGGAGTATCAAGGATAATTTTTTCTTTTAGGGATATGCTTCAAGGGGATATATTGCTGTTGCAATTGATTCTCGATACCATGGAGAACGTGCGACCAGCATCACAACCTATCGAGATGTTAGTATTTTGCCTTTTGCTTATGTGTATATTCAATTAGCTGATATAGAAAAGAACTTTCCTCTCCAGATGCTTATGCAACAGTGGGCTATCCAAAATTTGTGATATGTGGTTTTAAATCATGTTATGGATATGGTGAATAGATGATACCGCTGGCTTTTGGTTGTTTGATGATGGAGTTTCTGTTTGAACTTTAGCCCATGAAAGGCCTGAATATAGACAACTGGGAGTAAGCTAAACACGGGAAATACTTTCTCTCACAATTGGCTTCACAATAAGAATACTCTTTTATGAGTGGTTTTTATAATGAGAATAAGTAATGGTGATCCAATCAATTATGCTTGAATACTACTATACAGGTTGACTTGATCTTGCTAACATCTTCTTTTCTGTAGTACAGTCCCTAGTGTCATCATGGAAAAATGGAGATACAATGCCATTCATATTTGATACGGTAATAATTAAAAAAACTAACCTAATTCTACCATTTGAGAAGCTTGGTGAAATTTTGTTGTTATTCTCGAACTGCCATGATTAATAGTTGATATATGGGGCTCTGAGCATATCTTTTGCTGAGCTTTGAAGGTTTGGGACTTGATAAAACTGGCAGATTATCTTACTGAGAGGGAAGATGTTGACCCATCAAAGATAGGAATCACTGGCGAGTCTCTTGGAGGTTTGACAAGTGAATTAGGAAATTTACATAACAGTATCTGAAAGAACATCAGATTCAAATACTTTCTGCCTTGCAGGTATGCATGCTTGGTTTGCTGCATTTGTTGACACTCGCTATTCTGTGGTTGTCCCTATAATTGGTGTTCAGGTACCTCGTGTTAAGTATAATAGGATCAGTGATAGATTTTAATTGATACAAGATTATGATGAGAATATTGAAATGAGATTGTAGGGTTTTGGATGGGCAATTGAGCATGATAAGTGGCAAGCAAGAGTTAACAGTATCAAGGCTGTCTTTGAAGGTGAACGCAACTCCAAGAACCTTATTAGTTGGATCAGCTACTTTACTGCTGTCTATATGCTCCCCATCACATCTGACTCACTTGTTTGTTACCAGCTACTTTAGTGCTGCATATAGGGTTCTTTACTTATCTGTTTTAGTTATTTTGTTTTCAGAAGCACGTGCTGATTTAGACAAGAGTGCAATTGATAAAGAAGTGGTTCAGAAGGTTAGGCTGATAACTTTCATGTTTAATTTTTTTTTCATTCATGCATGATGAGAAATTCAAATACTGTGGTCTTCCTGCTCCTTCTCAAGATTATTTAAGAGGCATTCATGTGATGCGAGGTTCGGCAGACTCCGAGCTATATATTGATACACTAAAATAAGGTATAGGATGGGATATGTACATTACTGATTAAATTTGGGGGAAGGGGCAGCGGTATGTGGTCTTATATTATTACATTCTAGGTATGCTAAAGGAAGTTTTATTGGAGCAAACCTGAGCTATATGTCGTGGTTGCAGCCTTGTAAAATTAATCACTTCCATCAAAAACTTGAAATAGAAAAGTTCGTTCCTCCAGGTATTGTCTGTCTGACAGCATTATAAACATTCATGACTATTTTAGTAGTACAAGTTTGTGTTACAGTCTTAGGAGTTATGGGAACTGATTGATCTTAGATTTAGAAAAGATTTGAGTTCATAGTCCTAAATATTATACTTGTGATGCTTCTTGCGATTATCTTTATAAGTTGAATATCGGACATTGTTAAAATCTATAGCACGCTTCTCAAATGTTGTATTTCATGGAACTATCTGATGTTTACTTAGTAGCATATCTCACCAGGTCTGGGATAGGATTGCCCCGGGTTTGGCGTCTCAATTTGATGCACCATACACAGTTCCAACTATTGCACCACGCCCGTTACTGATTTTAAATGGTACAAGAATCTACATATCTTAAATAATGACAAAAGAATTCGTTACATTTATTACCCATCAATCATCATGTGCTCTTTTCCTTCTCTTGCTGTTTAAAGGATAAGTCTACTTTTCCAAATATTGTAGGGGGAGATGATCCTCGTTGCCCACTAGGTGGCCTGGAAATTCCAGAATCAAGAACTCTCAGAGCTTATGAAAAGACTAATTGTCCTCAGAATTTCAAGGTACAAAGCTTACCTCCAGCCTGCTTTTTCTGTGAAAAGAAACAGAAACTTTTTTCCTTACTTAGCTGTCATTAAGTATGAGTTTTGAGGACCTTAAAGGAACCAAATGAACATGTTATGGTATGAACTCACAAATAACTGATTATGAAGTGGATTCTGCTGCAATTCAGTACTTGAATCTAAAAATAACATGTTTAAATTTCCTTTTTTATAAAGTTATTTCTATGAAACTAGGGAGTGGAAGGGTAAGACTCAAAGGAGTAGTGTGAAACTGTTGTGTGGGGAGACTCATGCTGATATCATTAAACCATAAGCCTTCGTTGTTGACCTGTTTCAATTACTTTTGAGGACCTTTTAATTGTTTTCCCTTTTCCATTCACTTCATTTGGGATAACTTTGTCTCCAACTTGTTCTTTCGGACTTTTCATACTCTTTACTTCAATCCGCTCAGAACTGTCACTTTGTAAAAATCTAACCGAATTAGTTAATCAAATCTCTAGAATAATGGCTTTCCTAATACCAACTGGTCTTTTAGTTCTTGGATTTTACTTCTCTATTGCAACTTGGAAGTAAATATCTATTTCTTGCAACTAGCATTGCTGAAGAACATGTCCTTTAATTTACTACCTTCTTTTTTGGGTGATCAATCTTCTTAGGTTCTGAAATGCTTGTTCTAATAATTTTCAGCTGATAGCGCAACCTGGAATTGGTCATCAAATGACACCATTGATGGTAAAAGAAGCAAGTGACTGGTTTGACAGATTTCTTAAAGTATAATCACCAGTGTACAATAAAATCTTGAAGGATAGCTGTTAAAGCTTGCAATTTGTATTATTTGCTTGTATTTGGACTTCCATTTCTTTTTATATTATGACGACTATGTTTCCACGAGGGGTGTATTTTTGGACAGAAGAATAATTCTCTAGAGAAGTTTGAGAATTTAAGGAAAATGGATGTCTACAAACCAAATTGTTCTTTTTTTATGGAGGCATTGGCATAATTCAGTGTATTAGAGTCCAACTAAATTCGAATTCGCATTGGAAAGTTCTATATTTGGGTAAAGTGCTTCCTATACTCATACTATTAATGTTTTTCTTGTTGGATACTTGATCCTCTTGTAAAATTGAAACCCTACTCAAGTTTAACACCACTAACAGTTCTAGTCATATCCTTTTAATTCTTTCATTATAGTAACTAATCAAGGGGAAAGTTGCCTTTGATGTTCCCTTTTTTTCTCAACTCTGTCTATTTATCCATCATCTTCAGTTTCGGATTTTCTGCCATCACGTGGATACTCCCACCACTCCAATTTACGTGACACTGTTTAACTAGCTACAAAGTTTAAGAAAGAAACACTTTTTTTAAAAATTATGGTCCAAAATAAATATTTGTGTGGTTATAAATTATTTTGTTAAAGGTAATAGGAAAATTTTTAATGTTAAGTTTTTTCTTGTTATAGATTGATGACATTCTCTTTGAAATCGACTAAAAAAGAATGTGTGCTATCTAAATTGGGACACAGGGAGTACTAGTTTTGGTTGGATGAATAGTTGATATACATGGTTAAATTACTCTTTATGTTTTTACGTAGATGTTGAACCCCCTTCGCCTAGTTTTCATGTTTACTTCTTTCGATTTTGAATCCCTTAGTGAAAATTCTGGCTCGGCTACTCGTCCATTAGGAAAAGTTCAGCCTACATTATAAGGGAATACTTTGAACAAAAGGAACTTTGAGAAACTTTGGGATACTTAATTCACCTTTTCTCAGATGATTACATTATAGAGCCAAAACTGGAACCATACAGTTTGGCTTCTTTTACATCTACCATCAACTAACTTGAGGGAAAAGAATTTCAAAAAGTTAAAGAAATCAAGCCTAATTAACTAACTGATTTTACATAATGAAACTCCAATCTAATCCCAGTGAAAACCAAATTTCACTCCTTATTTCCAAGCAAATAATTCGGCATGATCGCGTTCCTGCTGCATCTGCATTTGATTCCGTGATAGTATCTGGAGTTAGGTCAACACGATCCTCCCTACGATGCATCATGAAGGACGAAGGATGTCAATGAATTGAACAAATAAGCTATGATATATAGATGAAGATGAACAAGAATGGTTACAATATCCTTACCAAGGGTAGACCTTTTGCAGCTTTCTGTTCCAAGAATGTTGATGGCTTAAAGAAATCACCATATGCCTCATACCAACCTTTTAACTTCGAGTATATGTACTCACATCCAATCGTATCAGCCCAAAACATGACGCCTCCACTGTATAGAATATAGTCATACAGTCATTACAATATGTTCAATAGCTAGTACGTACAGAATAGACGATGAATTATCTACATAGAGGTGGCCTGATTTCTGCTTTCTACTTGCGTTTCTGAGGGAAATTTGAATCCATGGACAGATGCAATGTCAATATCAGATGCTCGGACAACTATTCCTTCCTCAATAACTCGACAAGCCTCATTCACCACTGGAAAGAATATCATTTCTAGAATTTCTTCATCTGTCACAGATATTGGCTGCAGAATCACACATAACAAAATCATGTTAAGCCTTATATCACTCGAACATGAACAATATAGCATTGTTGTTACGCGTGAATTTTAATCAGCTGTAACAGACCTTTCCAGCAGGAGCAATATTGGTAAGTCTCATAGACTCCTCAACGATTTGTAGCACAGAGTGATCAGCTTCTGGCTTGCTTCCTTTATTATACGTGTAATATCCTTTACCATTCTTCTTACCTACGACGTAATACATATACATTTAGAAAACCAGACCACTTTAAAGGTGTCATTTAACTTCTTAAATTGAAACTTACATTCCCTTCAAAATTCTGTTTCCTTAAATTTGAATTTGAGAAATGTTTTCAAGCCAAGAGTTAAGTGGAAAACATAAATGTGTTCGTTCAGTACCTTCCCGTCCATTTTCTACCATTAGTTGAACCAATGGAGACTGAAAAGCACGGTCTGGATAAGCAGCAACAAACTCTTCTACACCAGCCAAAAATATACCATAGCCGGTAAGATCCTGAAGCCTGCGTAACATAATATACTAAAATGATAATATGAACAAAATTGGTGTAAATACACAGAGGTGCAGATATATTGTGTATGCTCATGTCAAGATGAACAATTTTCAGTCTAGAGAAAAACTTACTGAAAAGGACCAAGTCGCATGCCAAACTCAGTGATAACGCGGTCAATTCTGAAGATATCAACGCCTAAATTTGCCAACAGGTCTGGTCCTTGCATATAAGGGAAGAAGCTCCGGTTGACAGCAAAACCAGTACAATTTTTCACTACAATGGGGACTTTCTTCAAAATCTTAGTGAATTTTATCACATCAACAATTACTTGTGGAGAAGTATTTTCTGTCCTCACGATTTCTACCAGAGGCATCAAATGTGCAGGACTTCATCCATGAAAAGAAACAAAAATGAAAAACAAGAATTAAGCAACAGAATAAGTCATGAAACAGTAATAGTATATAATCTCAGAAGGCAAAAAGTCTGTATAAAATTGAACCTCACCTGAATAAATGTATCCCCAAAATGCGATCTTGGCTACTTGTTCTTTTCCCAATCACATCAAGACTAATTGTAGATGTGTTTGATGCAAAAATGCACTCTGAAGTACAAACTTTCTCAATATCCTCAAAAATTGATTGTTTCAGAGACACATTCTCGTTAACAGCCTAAAAGAGAGAGACATAGATTTCATCAGAAATACGTTTAATATGCATCAGCTACAAGGATATGCGAAAGACAGACATCCAATATGAAAATAAAAATAATGATTCAGCATGGTAACTAAGAGGAAGAGATGGTGAATGTATTACTATTACCTCAATAACCATGTCGACGTCTTTCAAGTCTTCATAGTCTAAAGTGCCTTTAAGAAGAGACAAAGTCCTTTTCATCTTATCCTGATTCAGCTTTCCTCTTGTTACAAAGCCTTGTAGATTTGCTGCAACACAAATAGCATAACAATATTTCAGACTTGACTTAATAGAACAACATGCGATGCGGAACATTACATTATACAAAGATATTCAACATGTTATATACTAACCTTCTACTGATTTCAAAGCTTTCGATAAATATTCATGGTTAATTTCTTTAAGTACAACACTAATGTTGCTGATAATGAGAGCTGTAGCAATGCCAGATCCCATTAATCCACCACCAACAACTGCAACTTTTTCTATTCTCCGAGGCTTAAGCCCAATATCAGTAACACTTGGTACCTGTAAATTGTATTTACCACTTTGTTAGACTACATTGTAGTAGGCCCTAGAAACAGTTCCAATTTCTTTGTCCATTCTTAATTAGACATGAAAAGAAGAATTTTTTTGCCTAATATCTATCGGAAACTGACCTTTGTTGTTGCAAGTTCGGATAGAAATACATGAAGAAGACCTTTTGCAGTATTTGACAACACTAGCTCTTTAAATACCTTATCTTCCTGCAATTAGTTACACATTGATTATAAGGAAGAAGCAAACAAAGTTACTCGGAAGGAAATCGTAGAAATCACCATAGAAACTATAGGCAATAAATGTTTCCCAACTGAATGACCAGGGGGAGAGATATGAAGTCATTGACATATCGAAGCAAAATACAGACGTAATGCCATAAGATTGTTCACCTTAAGAACACCAGCATATCCTCCAGCTACAATGCCTTCTTCGATCACATCAAGACAGGCTCTATAACGAGGCACTGTATAACGTTGTCTAGCACTTTTCAGTATCTCAAGTGACTCATCCTTAGGTCCAAGTTTATCCGTCTTTTCAAGAGAATTACAATTTGGATGGCGGCCTTCAACAATGTCAAGTGCCCAACACCGAGCAACTATCAAGAGCTCCTCTGAAGAGACAATGGCATCAATAAGACCCAACTCCTTCCCCTCATCAGAAGTTATAGTCTTGGATGACTGTTCAATATTTACACAAAACTTCAGCTTCAGCAATCTTTACATTACCATCTAAACTACGTACAACGACTGATTACATAGCGTATGCTACCTACACTTACCATCAACATATCAACAGCCTTTGAGGTCCCAACTAGCCTTGGAAGCCTTTGAGTGCCTAATAACACATGTACAATTAGTTTTCCAAACTTAAAACAGAGAGGCATACCAAATCATAAACATATAAGTATAAAAGAAATGTACCTCCACATCCTGGAATAACTCCAAGCTTCAACTCAGGTAAACCAAGATCACATTTTGGCGTGGCAATTCGAGCACTACACCCCTACACAATTTATAAACAAATAAATGAAATTTTGAGAAACATTGAATTATAATGAAATGAAAAAAAGTAGAACAGAGTGAACAAACCATAGCCAACTCCAAACCACCACCAAGAGCAAATCCTTGAATTGCAGCAACAGAAGGCTTATTCCCATCTATATATAATATGATCACGAAAGTTTTGGTTACACAATCAAATTACTACTACATATTAATTACCAACTATACTTTAGATTATGAACATACTTTCGATTTTATTAACCACTAGACCAATCGATGCATCAGGTAGAAGTGATATATCTCCTGGAATTTTAAAATTAGGAAAAAACTGGTTAGACAACATTAGGTACGTACATTAGTTGATCAAATAAGTGAGATAAAATTTACCATGCTTATGAACATTCTCCATAACACTGATGTCCAAACCTCCGCAAAATCTACCATTCGCACCTATAAACATACGAATTTGAATTTGAGGACGACAAACAAATTAAAATGGAAGTGTTAATCTAGCACAAAGACATTAGCAGCTCATAAATATCATAACAATAGAAGCTATGATGAACAAATTTGAACATTAGATTTACAATACTAATTAATCTGTTTGACACTTTTGCTTATTGGCATTAACTTTAAACAATTATCTGATATTTTTTACTAATTTTGTAGATAATCAGAGAACAAAAGGATTACTCTATTGTAAATTTTCATTCCATATGTGAAAATATTAG